ACACTGAAGAAGACGACTTTAGTGGTTTTAGTGCAGGAGGAAGATGAAGATAGCGATCAATGACTTTTCCTGGTAGGCTGCTGTATGTTTTAACCAGCTGTGTTACAGGCACTGTTCAGAAAATAACATTTACGTATTTGTGTGTTACCGGTACGTATTTAATTAAAAGTTAAAAAATCTTTCTGTGTAAATATCTCATGTAACAACGTGGACACCTGCAGCTCATAGACAAGTTCGGCCTGTATATGTACAAAACTTGTTTTCTTTTTAAAGTCAGCGGGTGTGGCTCATATTCAGGTGCTCAACAGTCTGGAATTTACGGTAACTTATATGTAGACCATCCAGCATCATGAAGTGCTTTAATTCCCCCTCAGCTCTCCACCTTTTACCATTTTCAACAGGAATTTTTGTCCCCAAATCTGAGCCGGCTCACTGGGCTTCTCTGACAAGTTAGAAATTAAACAAGCATTAACATTAATTTTTCTGTTCAGGAGTGCAAGTAAATAATTATAATTTGACGTCTTAATCAAGAACCTGGGGGAACAGCGCCTTCTCTGTTGCCGCCCCCTTCCTATGGAACTCACTCCCACAAGACATTCGCGACACTGTTGACCCGACCACTTTCAAGTCCAAATTAAAAACACACCTGTTCCGCACTGCTTTCAACCTGTCACCTCACTAATCTACACACATCACATTATCTGCACAACATTAACTATGTATGTGTGTATTTATTTTTATTTATTTTCTTTTGCTTTTCCAACTGTTTGTTCTGTTTTCTTTAGTTTGACTTATTCTGTAGACTTGTATTTGCTTTTTTTCTATTTGTTTTGTTTTTATTTTAACATGTAAAGCGTCTTTGAGTTTGTGAAAAGCGCTCTATAAATAAAATTTATTTTTATTAAGAAATAATAATGTGCTTCACTGTTTTTTCTCCTTTTTTTGTAAAATAGTATATTTATAAATTCATTTATATTAATAATAACTATATTTTAGAATTAAAAATATAATTTGGGTTAAAGAGCTTCTACATACTGGTGTATTAACCGTTACAGAAACATAAGAAGTGATTTAGGTAATTACCAATGCTGTTAATTTAGGGCAGCTGTGGCGTAAACCTGACACTGGGTGGTGGTCTAATAAATCTGTTCAGCTCTGTGCAATCCAGAGTTCAAACTGCAGCACCTCAAAGTGGATTATGATGTGGGAAGAAGACTCATAGAGCTTAGTGTTTGGTTCAAGTACACACATTTATAACAAACTGAGACTTTTTCCTGACCCTCGTCCTGAACTGACACTAACTAAAAGAAGAAACTCTGGCTTTGGTGTTTAATCCACATTTAGTTTATTCACCAGCAGTGTTGGTTTCTGCAGCCCGCTGGAGCCGGTGTGAAGGTGTTGGAGGGCCGGCCGAAGCTGGAGGCCTGGAGGGATCGAGTGAAGAAGGAGGTCGGAGAGAAGCTGTGCGACGAAGCCAACGAGAGTCTGATGAACGCCAACAGGCTGCCGCGNATTGTTCAAAACTTGCTCATAAAATGTTCAGACTGATTCAAGCATTGTTCTGTAATGGCTTTAAAATTCGTCAAAATGATTAAAAAAATTATAGACAAACAATCATGGTGAACAAAACCAGATCCAGAGTGACACCTGGATGGATATAAAACTGATCTGGTGTCAGTTTCTACTAGATCTCAGATGTGTTCTTCATTCTAACATGTCATGTGTCCGCTGGACTGATGAAGGTCTGAGGCTCAGAAATGATGGGAAAAAGTCATTTTAAAAGTGTGAAATTTGGACCTTTGAGAGCCTGTAACTCTGAAAGTATTCACAGTATGAAGGTAAAACTTTGCATAACTTCATTAACTAAACTGAAGTTACTGTAGATGAAGAACCAGCTGATTCTGAGGAGGTGAGGAAAGAGGCACTGACTGGTTTTTCATGGAGCGACTCTCTAAAGCACGTATGAGCCAAAAGCTGTAAATCTAGTTTAATTTGTTTCCGTCTTATCGGAGCATCAACAGCGGCCTCTGGTACCCAATGATCTCCCTGCGTCTCTGTTCTCAGGTCTTTTATCCCGTCATCGTGGACGGCAAGGCCCCAAAGGAGAAGATGGACGTAGCCCTCGAGGATCTGAAGCACTCACTGGACCTGCTGGAGCAGAAGTTCCTGCAGGACAAACCGTTCATCATCGGCAACGAAGTCTCTATTGCTGATCTGGTGGCTTTGGTGGAGATCTCACAGGTAATAATATCTCTACTGGTACCGGTAAGTGAAACCTGGTACATCAGGACTGTTGGAGCTGCCGTTAAAACCATGAGCGCTGTCTTAACGTACCAACCTAAGATCGACTGGACTTGAGAAGACATTTTACACGCTACCGTTACTAGTTTATCTGTCAGGACTGCTGCCACTCAGCTTGTTGGGACTTTCTCAACTTTTAATTTGCACTGTGAGAAATGTAGGATCCATCATCTTTCTAGTGGGACTTCTTTTTTCCCCGTTATTGGACACTTTACAACAGAAACATGCACCGAAGACCTGCAGCAAAGATCTGCATTTCAGTCACTCACAGCTGAAGCAAAAGGCCACGAGGGATGCTGAGTTCCTCATTGCGAGGATGAAAATGCAGATCTGTGGCTTTTTGGGATTGGTACAGTTCTTAACAAAGGTATCAGACCTCCTGTCTAGCGTAATTTCCAAACTATAAGCTGCGACTTTTTTCACACGCTTTGAACAACGATGCGTCTAATTTATGGATTTTTATGAATTTGCCTCAAGACGAAAGTGACATTGAGAGCGACAACAAAAGAGAGACTGAGGAAGTGTGTGACGAAGTCATTCTGAGGCTGTTCAGTTCCAACACTGAAGAAGACGACTTTAGTGGTTTTAGTGCAGGAGGAAGATGAAGATAGCGATCAATGACTTTTCCTGGTAGGCTGCTGTATGTTTTAACCAGC